CTTTATTTATACCTTAAGGCAAAGCGGTGAGATGACATCAGCATAAGCATCAAAGCAGAACAGAGACAATCATTACATATTTTTTCATGAACATACAGAGACCCTCTTGATCTCATACTACAAAAGGACACTTCTTTAATCTGATTAAGAAAATCAACAGGGACAATTACTCTCCTAGGTACAACTCTTTTTCTAACATAATCAATTGCCTAAGACAGTACAATGTTCAGTAACAATCAATCATCCTGTCAAGCCTTCCTAATTTCAGAGTGGACATGAAAATCCATTGTTATGCTATATTACTAAAATCAACCCATTCTCTAGTACTCAATTCATCTAGCTATTATCAATTACTTCAAAGTGATCTAAAACAACTCATCAAATCTATGTAAGTTCTACTGAAGTCTAACTCTTAACTAGAAATTCCTAACCTCCACACAACCTGCGAACTGTTGGCCTTTCGAATACACCAGGAGATGTATTGTTGCTGCAAACAGGTACCCCCCAGGTTAGGCTATGGTTTCCAAGCACAGCTGGTTCAGGGCAGCTTGTTCTTCATAGTTCTCAGGGCCAAAACATTTATTTCCTAACTATATCTTTAACAATTTTTACTTCTTTTGTGATAGTTCATGGTAAGAACAATAAGCCAATTGTCACCTGGGTCCGAATTAGTTTTCACATGCCAGTTAATAACTAACTTACTTCAGCATTAACCAAGAACAAAGAGGAGAGCATTAGCAGGCATTGCCATGGAGACTCCCTAGTTCAGATCTTCTTTGGGAAGTGCAAGAACTCTCCTCTTCTGGGAAGTACAACTTTCCCTCTTCGGGGGAGCACAGGAACTCCCCTCTTCTCGGCAGTCTCCCCCAATGTCCGGACCATGTCAAGAGACAGCATGGGAGGCGCAGCCTGCCGCACTGTTCCTTGTCATGGCGCTGAGCCTTGGTGCTATTCAGCAAAATGAGTTTTTCTTAATGATTTTGGTGGAGTAAGGCAAAAGGATATCACCTGGTCCCCTCACTCATTTATTTTCTCTCCACCTTTTTAAAAATTATTGATGAGACTATATAAGTTACAGATTCACTAGTTAGAAAGAGACAGTAACCTTTTAGTTCAGCCGCTGGTGTTTACACCTGAGGTTGGTTTCTATTGGTCTCTCAGCATGACCATCCCTCAGCAGAGGCCTCAATGCTGACTTTCGAATGCTACCATTGCTATGTATCCTGGCTGGATGTAGATTATTTTCCCTTGTTAAAAATATTTAATAACTGGGCAATAATGTGCTCAGACTTTGTAAACTCTCCACTGAATAATTTCTCATTTTTCACAACAATTTCCTGCTGGCTGCTATACTTTTTTCTGTCACCTTCTTCACATAACTGTGGCCTCTTCCCTTCAAAGAAGGAAGGAGCCTCCAATTCCACCCCACAATGTATAATATTCTCCACTGTTGTAGTTAGAGAAGAGGTAATGGTCTGTATGATGAGATGAACCATTAATAAATGTCCTTAAGATTTGAGGAGATGGAAATCACTGTTATGAATGAAAATTGTGCAGACATTGACCAAGATGTACAACCTAAATAAACCAGCTGGTGTAATGGAAAGATTAAAGGATGGAGATGATAAGGTAGACTCTGAAGAAAGCCATCCACATGGTGAATGAAAGCCATGACTTGCAGGTGAAGAAGGGATCATCCAGAGAGGAGGTTCATGGATTCACTTATCTATAAGTCTATGGTGAAGGCCTCTGTGAATCCAGTAGATTAGCATGTTGGTGAAAAACAGGAAGGACCATAGGGGAACAATGAGTTGAATCCAGCTGTTTAAAAACTCTCCTATGGTGTCATGTAATTTGCTGTATCCTCTCAGCTCCACAGAAGCAGTGAAATGGTGGGAATACTTAATCCATGGTAATGACCTAACAGTAAACATGATTCTCAGTAGACTTGATTGTTTAAATATTGGGGGTGGTTCATTAGGGAATAACTATAGACAAAGTAATAGCTCATTGTCGCAAAGAGGAAATACAGGAGAATTAGAGTTTATTGGAAGATGTCATACTCTGGCCTTGTGGTTGGAGATAGAAATGGTATAAAAAAATAATTATCTGCAGCATTGAGTACAAGATCCATCTTAGCTCTAGCATAAAGGGGAGGCTGGAGGACCCAGTGGTGGTGTAGGTGCAACAAGACACAACAGGGGACTCAGTCAGTGGGAGTCAGGCTTTATCATCAAATGAGTCTAATGCCAAACTAGAGAGGGTCTGTCCACCATCCAGCACTGCTGAGCCAGGAGGCCTGGGCTGGTCTGCAGCCCTGGTCAGCAATAGGCACAATTTCAAGGGTTAGTTTTTAAGTTTTCCTTAATATAGCCCTTTGTTAGACTTCTTATACCATATATGAGTGACATATTTGTCTTTCTCCTTTGGATTTATTTCAATTAGCATGATCCATCCACGTTGCCCAGATGGCATGTATTTATGTTTTTCTGATAAGTAGTATTCTATTATCTATACCACTTCTTCTTGATTTCCCATCTATTTTCAGGCATTTTGGTTATTCCCATAGTTTGGATATTGTAAATAGTGCTGCAGTGATCATGGATGTGCAAGGTGCCCTTCATATTAGTGTATTTGTGTTCAGTGGGTACATACCGAGGAGTGGGACTGCTGGGCCCTATGACAGATCCATTTTTCATTTTCTTTATATATATATATATATATATATATATATATATATATATATACTGGTGAAATTAATTAATTAATTTTTTAAAAGATTTATTTATTTATTTATACAAGCACTGGGTACAGTCAGAGGCGTGGGAGGGTGAGAGAATTCACCAGAGCCAGAGCAGAGAGCAGAACAGGCAGAATGACGAAGTACACTGCTGAGGGGAGAAGTGGGCAGCAGGAGAGGTCTGCGCCCCATGTGGGACCCTCCTCCAGTGGCCGGGGAGCAGCTGGGGATAGAACCGGTGCTGCAGAGGCTGCAGGCAGCTTTGCAACCCAGTGCTCAACCTCTGCGCCACTGGTGAGGCCCCATTTTTAATTTTCTAAGAAACCTCAAATCTGTTATATATATATAACAGATATATATAAGATATATAAGATAAGCTATATATGATATATATATATATGAAACAGATTTGAGGTTTCTTAGAAAAAATATATATACACACATTATATATATATATATACACATAAAATATCATTGCTCATTTTTATACATTGTGTGCTTGTGTGCTTTCTCCTTTAAGGTGTATTCCTCATGAAATTCCCAGCATCAATTCACCAGTGACCCATCACCATATCCCTTGTGCCCTTCTCACCCCTGTTTTGCTTCTTCTACCTCCCCCTCCCTTGCAAAATATCTCTGATTTATAGTTGCCTTCTAATTTTGGCTTTTTATTTATTAATGCTGTTATTTTTTTTTCCCAGTGCCTTATTTGATTCCCTTATATTCCTCCTAAAAGTGAAACCATCCGATATTTTTCTTCCTCTCTCTGGCTTATTTCACTGAACATAATCCCTTTTAGCTCCATCCATGTTGAGAATGGCATGAGCTTATCTTCTTTAATTGTTGAATAGTATTCCACTGTGTATATACCACATCCTCCTAATCCAGTCATCTATTTTTGAGCATTTTGGTTGTTTCCACATCCTACCTATCATAAATAGTGCTGCAATAAACACAGGGTGGCAGGTATGCATTTTAATTAATACTTTTGTGTCCTTTGGGTAGATTGGGAGTGGAATTGCTGGGCCATGTGATGTCTCCATTTTTAGTAGTTTGAGGAAACGCCACAGTTTTCCATAATGGTTGGACCAGTTTGCATTCCCACCAGCAGTGTAGGAGAGTTCCTTTTTCTTCACATTCTTGCTAACATTTGTTGTAGCCTGTTTTTAATATGTGCCATTCTCACTGGTGTAGGGTGGTATCTCAATGTAGTTTTGATTTGCATTTCCCTGAATTAAGTAATGTAGAACGTTTTTCATATACCATTTGCACTTCCTCTTCGGAGAAGTCTTTTTAGGTTTTCTGCCTATTTTTTGACTGGATTGCTTATTTTTGTTGAGTCCTTTGAGCTCTTTGTAGATCTTTGTTATCAGTCCCTTATCAGTTGCATTGTATGCAAAAATTTTCTCCCTATCAGAAGGGTGTCTGTTTGTTTTGGTTAATGTCTCTTTTGCTGTACAAATCTTTCTCCTTTGATGTAATCCCAGCTTTGGAGGATGTATCTTTAAAGATGTTACTGAGAAGAATGTCCTGTGGTGTTTTGTCTATATTTTCTTTTATGGTTTTAGGTCTTATGTTGAATTCTTTTATCCATTTTGAGTTGGTTTTTGTGCACGGTGTGAGATAGTATTCTAGCTTCATTTTTTTGCATATAGCAGTCAAGTTTTCCCAGCAACATTTATTGAAAAAACTGTTCTTATTCCATTGGCTATATTTTGCTCCTTTGTCAAAGATTAGTTGTCCATAAATATGTGGGTTTTTTTTCTGGGTTTTCTATTCAATGCCATTGGTCTATGTATCTGTTTTTATTCCAGTACAATATGGTTTTAATTATTATGGTTTTGTAGTATAGTTTTAAGTCTGGGAGGGTGATGCCTCCTTTCTCCTTCTTTTTAGTCAGGAGAGCTTTGGCTATTTGCAGAAAACTTGATACTGTTTCCGTCAAAACTGAACCAGTCTACATTCCCAAATACATTGTAGGACTGTTCCTTATTCGCCATATCCTTGTATCAACAGGCCATTCTCACAGACATGAAGTGGTTTTTCATTTTGTTTTAAATTAGGGGATCATAAACAGATTAATAAGATATGATACATATATATAGTGGAATACCACTCAGTGATCAAAAACATGAACACATGCCATTTTGGAAATATGAATGGATAGGAAGGGGTTATACTAAGCTTGATAAGTCAGAAGGAAAAAAAATAAATATCAGATGGTTTCCCTTATATGTGGGCATACAGAAACTTAACAGAAGGTCAGAGTAAATACAAAACTTGCAACCTGATCATAGATCTGAGGCATACAGCAGGGGAAAGGGAGAGAGATGGTTCCAAACAGGGGAGGGAAGAGCACAAGGGATTGTAGTGGTAGATCATGGATGCTGTGGTGGTGAGAGAACTGTAAGTATTACAGGGTAATGAGAGGGCACTTAGACCCCCCAAACCTGCCTGCTCCAAATAGATTCTGCCATCCTCTAAATAGGTTGCTGCATCAACTCAAGACATATAACTTTAATGGAAAGGAGCTTTAATACAATTAGTAAACAATACAGAAAAGACAAAGAATATAGTTTCTAAACCAAGCACCCAAAGTTACCTGTTCCCTTGTGGCTAAAATTCCACCCAAGCAGGATTGGCCCAGAACAAAACAAGGCCCAAAAGCTGCCTCAAGTCTAAAGCATCTTTCAGTAGGGACCCACAGAAAAGGATCAGAAACAATCGGACGAGTCTGGAAGGAAAACAGCAAAATCAAAATCAATGTAAAAGCTGCCATTGTCACCTCCCCACGGGTCTCTCACCCACATCTGTGTCACCCAGTCCACGACCAAAAGGCAAGCGCAGTTTCTTCACATGTCTCTGGGCTCCATGTGCCTCCTCCAGGTCTCCTTCTAGCTCTCTGTCCTGCTTCCTTCCTTCTAGGTCTCCTCTCCAGCTTTTTTCTCTTCTCTTTAGCTCCACCTTCCATTGCTGATGCAGGGAATCTGGAACTTTTCCTTTTCCTGGGGACCACTCTGTTACAAAAGGACTACACCTGGGAAGGAAATCAAATATTATACAAAAAATAACAATGATGTAAGAAAACAAATAGATTTAATAAAAAAATTATATCAATCACTGACAGCTAGAAAACAAATAAAAATAAATACACTAGAGGATCCTGAAGTTACAAAATGGAGGTGAGAGCAATCCTATCACATTCAGTCCCACACAAGGCAGAGCTCACATTCTACGAAGGAAAATAATACTGAAGATTCAGGTGAATCACCTTAAGTGATAACATTCTCAATAGTCCACTGCATCCTCAGAATGTCCCATTCACAGCTCCCCATAACCTGCCCCCATCCTCTGGTGTGACCTAGGGGATGAGAGACATCCCAGAGTCCTGAGTATTGCTGCTGTTTGAGGAAGCACAAAAGAGGACCTGGTCAGAGCCCAGAGATGAGACCATTCTAGGAACTGATGAGGGTGACTCTCCCTAGATTTCCCGCTATGCTGCCCTCAGGGTCACAGGGATCCAACCCCGATCCACACTTACCTGCATCCTGAGTGTAGCTTATCCTTGTCCCCCTGTGGAAAGAAACATCATGTGAGACAAGGGAGGAGTCAGCCCATGGAGTCCTAAAGGAATCCCCAAGTCTAGGTCACAAGGAAGTTTCTAGAACTCTGACTAAAGACTCAGGTCAGCACTGAGATATATGAAGAATGGGTATGAAAGGGACTTGGAGTTTTTCTAAAGCAGGGTCCATCCCCTATGACATTTGCTGGGAAACAGAGCCCCATCACCACATTTATAAGGTGAACAATTGGTGATTCATTTTCACAAGTGCTTTACAAAGAGTGTTAGCAATCAGCTCCAGACAGGACAACACATGTGTGTGGATTACACTTCCTGCTAACCAAACAGGGCAAGTGCTCCCTGGGACATGAAAGCCTCCAGTGGACAAGATCCCTCACTCCCTTCCCTACCTGAGTGCTTCTTCCTCCACATCACAGCTGCAGCCACCGCAGCTCAAGGGAGCACAGCTCCAAGGAGAACCAGGCCAGCAATGATGCCCGCGGTGGGGCTGTAGGACTGAGAAGGGGATATTGGAAGGGAAGGGAAGGGGAAACTCTGAGTCCCAGACCAATCCTGAGCCTCTTGAAGGTCTCAAAAGAGCTCCTGGTTCCCCTGGTAGAGCCTCTGTGCCCGGTTCCCCCTCCCCACCCCATCTCAGGACTCGGGGCTCCAGCAGCCCCTCATGCTGCATATGACATGTGTATCTCTACTCCTCTCCAGAAGATACCTCCACAGCCACCCACTTCTGGAAGGTTCCATCCCCCAGGTCTGGCCTCCACCAGCTCCATGTCCTGGGTCAGGTTCTCCCCATCTCACTGCCAGGTCAGGGTGATATCCACAGGGTAGAAGCCCAGGGCCCAGCACCTCAGGGTGACCTCACCGGCAGATGTCTGGTGGGTCATGTGTGTCTCTGGGGGATCTGAGGAGAAGGGCCAAAAAATTCACATTTTGGGTTTTTCCTTCCTGGACACTGAAGCAGCTTCAATGACCAGCCCCAGAATGAACATGACAAGTGGTTTGGAGGGAGGAAGCACAAAGCCCAGAAACCAGCCTGGTCTAGAGAATCTGGGATAAACAGGTGAGAGCCCAGGGTAGGAGGATGCAGGTCTCTAAGGAGAACACAGACTTTTGCTCCTCACCTGGGTGGAGGGTGAGTGACACAGAAAGGCAGGAGAACATTCCAGAAATGTTCTCAGACCAAAAACAAGACCTTGAAAGAGAAACTCATGGATGGCCTCCAGGTCAAAGGATCCAGGGAAGAGTTATTTCAGGATGGCATCCCCTCCCTCAGGAGAGACTGGATTCCTTAACTGTCCAGAAAAGTGGTGTCTTCTGGGCGAGTCTCTCTCTAGCACAGAACGTGAAACCCAGGGGGACTCTCCCTCTCTGCCCAGAAAGCAGCTGCTGTTCTGCCCATGATTCCATGTTCCCTGTGGGGCACCAGGAGAGGGGAGGTCCGAGGCCTCGTGGCCCCTCTTACCTGTGCGCTGCAGCACCTCCTTCCCCGTCTCCAGGAGTCTGCGGAGCCATGGGAAGCACCTGCTCTGCACACTGTGCCTGACGCGCTCGGCCCTGCCCGCCGCCTCCCACGCGCGCTGGGTGATCTGAGCCCCCGAGTCCGCGGGGGTCCAGGAGCGCAGGTCCTCGCTCAGGGAGATGAAATCCGCGCCCTCGTAGGCGAACTGGTCATATCCGCCGAGGAGGCTCAGGTCTGGCCCCACTTCACAGCCACACATCCTCTGGAGGGTGAAACACACCCCTGTGGTCAGCCCCGAGGTCACCCAGCGGTCACCCCGCCTCTCACCCTGAATAAACCTAAACTGAAAATGAAAGGGCCAGCAGGAAAGTCCCTTCCCGGGGGGAGGGTCCTGGCAGATCCACCAGCCTCGAGGGGTCAGTGGACCCTGAGACTCGGGACACCCCGGCCTTATGGTGGGAATGGGGGTGTGACCTGACCCTGGCCCCGCTCCACGAAGCTCACCGTCCTCGCTCTGGTTGTAGCGGCCGCGCAGGTCCCTCAGGAGCGCTTTGAACCACTGCGCGTTGTCCCTTTGGATCAGAGTCTCCTCGTCCAGGTCCTCCTGCCCCACCTGCCCCGCCCAGGGCGCCCGCGGCTCCGCGCTCTGGCCCGGAGAGTCGCTGTCAAACCGCCCGAACTGCGTGTCGTCCACGTAGCCCACGGCGATGTAGCGGGGCTCCCTGGGGCCGGGCCGGGACACCACGGTGTGGAAACACCTCAGGGAGTGGGAGCCTGGGGGCGGGAGGGGAGACCCGGGCTGACCCTCCTCTCAGCTGGCCCAGGGCCCAGGGAGATGGGCCTGGAGGGGAGAAAGGGGCGGGGCCGTGAGAGTGAAAAGGGGCGGTGGGCCAAGAAGGGCCCAGACTCAGGGGCCCAGAGCACTCAGGGGAGGCGGGGGGGACAGAAGGGGCCAGAACACAACGGGCGTGTAGGGGGTACAAGAGGTTGGGAAAGAAATGAGCCTTTCCTGGGGTCCTGCACCCGCAGGGGGCTCCTGGCTCCTCCCTCCTGGAGCAACAGTGTCCAGCTGGACACGCACTCACCCTCCGGGGTCTCCATCAGGGCCAGGGGCCCCCAGAGCAGCAGCAGGAGGGTGAGGGGCATCACACCCCATCCAGGGGCCTGGGGAGAAGGAGTCCAGGAGTGTCCTTGGAGACTTTGTAACTGGAGCAGGACGATGCTGATTGTCTTCCCTGGACACCCCCAGGAAATGGGGAGAGAGAATGGGGGTGAGTGTGGGATCCTCAAGGCTGCACCACCCCACAGAGCCTCTGAGAGGGAGACATGATGCTGTGACAGTGTGACATCCACAGACAGGGGAGGCTCCAAATTCCTTCCCACCTTCGGGAGGAGTGGATTTGGGCTGGGAGAGGCAGCAGCCTGGAGGAATGAAGAAAGTAGTAGTATATTCAGATAATTGTGAATATTGATACTGAATTAAAATTATACAGGTGGGGCCTCCCTGGTGGCACAAGGGGTTGAGACACAAACTATGAAGCTATCCGCAGCCATTTTGATACCCACATGGTGCAACAGACCTCTCCTGACTCTCCCTTGGCTCCCCTCAGCAGTGTATTTCAGTACATCTGTCTATTCTGCTCCCCACTCTGTCTCTGGTGAATCTTCTTACCCCCCACACCTCTGGTCTGTTTCCCCAGTTCTTGTATGCATGAATAAATAAATAAATCTTTTTAAAAAAAAAAAAAAAAGCTATACAGGTGGTAGTTTCTCAAAGGTCATTTGCAAAGTGAAACCTGAAATAATATCATGGAATATTTTCTATTCTGTTACATATTTGTTTGGAACTTGTGCTAATGTATGATTTTTTTTAATGTATGATTTTTAAGGTGATACATTGTTTCATTAATTTACATAGATCTTTAGTGTTAATTACACTGGAATCGAATTATCAAAAGCATATTTTATTTTTAAATCATGAATCCCAAGGAAAAATTAGTACTGTAAATTGCCAAGTAGTAATGGCACTGGATTTTTCATAATTCTGGTTTTCTCTCAGAGCTTTTATTTTATCAGGTACAATTACTGTCATTTGTCAATTGTTGATTTTTTTAAAGAAACAGACATTCATTTTGAGGAAAGTGTCTGCTAATTAACCAAATTTAAATAATTTTAGTTTTTGTCATTTATCTCTTCAGGTAAGGTTGGTATTGACCACAAATAAAAAGAGTCTAATTCATCTCATACAAATATTTTTTGGACCTTCCAGGTAGCGCAGGCAGTTGAGCACCGCACTGTGAAGCTGTCCGCAGCCTCTGCAGCACGGGTTCGATCCCGGCTGGTTGGGGAGATACCCACATGGTGCGGCAGACCTCTCCTGTCTTGCCTGCTGCTCCCCTCAGCAGTGTATTTCAGTCTGCCTGTTCTGCCCCTTGCTCTGTCTCTGGTGAATCCTCTCACCCTCCCGTGCATCTGGCCTGTACCCTGGTTCTTGTATGCATGAATAAATAAATCTTTTTTAAAAAATTATGCATGTGGGTCAGCCATGTAGATTTAACATGTCACACCCCCGGCTCTCTACCTCATGGGATTATAAACCGAGACCTGGACCTGCTTTTTACAGCCTCTTCTCTACTGCTTTTCCCTGACTGGGACCACAACCTTTCACTGCTGCTTTTCTCATCATAATTAACTGCAAGTCAAGGGACTGTAAATAGCCAGTGGCCCATTCAACTCCCTACCGGGCAGACCAGATCCTTCCTTTCTGTGAGTCCTCTCTTTCTCTCTCTCCCAAATGTATTCCCATCTTTTAGGTGCCTTCCTATGTCACCGGTACTTCGATAGTTTCCTCTCACTATGGGGACCAGATTTCCTCCCCTTGGTTAATAAGTGGGCCCAAGACTTCAACCTAAGGCTCAACTCTAAACGTTCTTGTTATATCTGCCTTCAATTAAGACTCGTGAGGGGCTAAGACAACTCCAGTCAGCTATTCTAGATCCTGAAGTGTCAGGGCTAGGCCTCTGGTCCTGCACTGTAATTCCTCTTAAATGCCACAGGGGTTTCTTGTTAAATGGTAGTAAGATCAGCCATATGTGGGGCAAAAGCAAGCTATCTCTAAAGAATTTCTAGATAATAGGAAAAAGTCAACAGCTTCCCCTTTCATATTTTTGGCTTGCCACCACCTTGCCATTAAGGTGTTCTCAGGGGGAATGGGATACCCAGAAATTTTATATAATGATGCTTGCTCTTGAGCATTACACCCTGGGACCCAAAATATTCTGGTAGGACATCAGGCTTATAGGACAATTTCCCGTAGCAGGAGGAGGAGTCATAAGGTCATACACAGCTCAGTGGCTGAAAGAATACCCAAGCCTTTGAATTTTCAAATCCTCCTCCCATCTGGAAACACACCACTTAAGTATCCCAGATTCTGGGGCCTCCCTGCTGGCTCAAGGGGTTAAGATGCAACTTATAAAGCTCTCCGCAGCCATTGCAGCAAAAGTTTGAGTGCCAGCCAGGGAGATACCCACATGGGGCAGCAGACCTTTCTTGACTAGTCTGCTGTTCCCCTCAGCAGTGTATTTCAGTCAATCTGCCTGTTCTGTTTCCCACTCTGTCTTTGGTGAATCCTCTCACCCCCCACACCTCTGGCCTGTACCCCAGTTCTTGTATGCATCAATAAATAAATCTTCTTAAAAATGAAAAGATCCCAGATTCTGAGACAGCCTTCCTTTCCATCCAGAAAGAGAGAATGACAGGGGCAGATAGCAAGTAGGGGCTTAGAGAAGTCTAAACCACAGGGAGTTACTCCTCAATGTGGGGATGCCCACAAAAAGTAGGGCATTAGCCTGTGGCTGTCCCACTCTTCCTGGGGGTATGTCCGTGGCTATGTTAGGGGGAAAGGATGTCCAGAGCTAATCCCATACAGGCTTTGTGGACTCCACCTCCACTCCAGACCAAAGCCATCAGGATACTGGGAAAGACAAATTCCATCACCACCAAAGGGAAAGTTGCTTGGGGTCTCACGCTCTTGCTCGCCTCCTGGCTTCAGGGCTCCTGGCTCGCAGCCAGCTCTCAGAGTGCTGGGATTCCAGATTGGCGGATCGGGTTGGACTCATTTAAAACTTTGTCTCCCACT